AATCCGATGAATTTTTGTTCATCGGCGAATTCTGAGTATTTTGTTTCGTTAGTTTTAACACCTAGCTCTTCACTAGCAGCTGCTATTTGGCGCATCGTTGTTTTGTCGTGGCGATGTTTAACCATTAGGTTGTCATCCACCCACCTAAAGACTTCAACAAGTTTAAAAGTTTCTTTCATAAGCTCCTTCCATCCGTCTGCCGGGCCACCGAAGGAGCCACAACCAGCTACACCCCCAAAATTTATCATAACGTCAATGTAAACCATCTCGTCGAAATCTTTGATCGCTAAATATGGCCATTGTGAAGGGTGCGTAGGGATTTGTCTATACGCGCCCTCCCAATCAAAAATTCCAACTTGAACATCTTTGTTTAAGTATTTGAAGAATCTTGCGACGATTTTAAAATTGTCCCATGTCGTCTCAAATTCTTCCTTATTTACGTATGAGTTAACTGAGCGAATATTTTGGTCGAACCGTGGAAAGGACATGTCGTTGATTGGTCTGAAGGACCCATCGCCATTCTCCACCGCTCCTAAAGGGTTCGTTCGAAAGAAACCCAATCTACTATATACTTCTTCTTTTGTAAACGGACCGAACATTTTCCCTGCATTAACTTCTTTCTGTATATTCTTTTCGATTTTATCCCTTGCGTTCATAGCTGAATTGTGATTAGGCGGACAATAGTACTTTAAATCTTTTATCGTATGATAAGGAACTCCCTGATGGAATCCATTTCTAAAGCCGTCTAGTAAGTATTCATATTTGTGTATTAAATTGAACTTCTTCAATTTTTCTTCCCAAACTGATATGTTCATGTCACATTTTACCGTCGAAGGCCAAGATGCATCCATGGCATCTCGATAACTACTAAACGCGTTCGAAGAGTTTATCGACTCATTATTCGAACTTATGTCTCCAGAACTAATACAAATCAAAACGAGGTTTTTTATTCATTTCAATACTAATTTCACGCTAACTAACACAACAACACATGGACCAATTTTTCACAGACAATTTGAAACAATAAAAACTCTTCAAAGAGACATAACGAAAGATAAAAAGCTTACGCTTTTTCTTTAGATGTTGATTGTCTAGGCTCATTCTTGTCAGTATTCGATTGTGATCGATCCCTGTATAATTACATTTGAATGAGTTAATGCCATCATTTGTAGACAACTCAAGAAAGTAGCCAGGTGTTTTGCTTACACTTGCTTTCCTTTATTAAAGGGGTATTTCCCTCTTCCTCTATCTCTACTATCATTTCTGTAATTCTCGTTTTTATTCTCTTTGTTTTCATTTCTACTATTATCATTTCTATGGTAAGGTGAAATAGATCTGTTTTCTCTTAAACCCTTTCCCCTATTATTTTGTCTGTTCTTGTTTTGATACCCATCACTCCTGGTACTATCAATTCTATTAAAGGGTGGTGGTTTTAAGAAATAGCTATCCATCTCTTCATCTTCGTCATCAACAATTAAAGTATCGTTCGTGTTGTGAGTTTTACCTCCTTGGTACTTCTTTCCAGTGATTGGATTGAATCGTTCCTTCGAATGGCCTTTGGCGTATGCTGATATCCACACGAGTATTAGAAATTTTTCTGTAATCGCATTGGATGACAGACTCACGATTATCAAGTAACATATGTTGACCATCTTGTAACAACGAGGTTCTTGCCAAGGCTTCTTCTAAGAATATTGGTCTAGGTACTCCTGCATCTCCTGGAGCTCCATTTACATGGTTGCACATGACGTCTGTTCGTACCATGATATCGTATCTAAAAGCCGATACCCAACCGTGCCTTAGACTTAAAGCTTCCACATAATCGAAATGCTTTTCCAAACTAATTCATGATATCAGCATTCATTCGATCTTTTAATTTTGTAAGAGAAATGTACCCTTTTGCTATCTCTATATGCCAGTACTTCTCTCTTAGATATTTCAGCATCAGTTGTTTCGCCCTGGTCCAATCCGCGAAAGACATGTTCCATTCATTCTTTGGGATTTGTCCTGTGGGCTTATCCTTCTTCTTCGAAGTACTACTTGCAGCAATGTTCTGGTCTAATACAATCCATCTGTCATTGAAGATTGTGAGCGGAAAATGAATGTCCATTTTCTTCAAGTGTTCGTGCCAATACGAGGTGAATGATTGTAAATTAGAATCTGATACTTGTCCTTCTTTATAACCTTTAATTGGGTTAACGTTCTTAATTGAACCTAAAGCTACTGGTTTGTCTAACGACTTCAGAAACTTCTCTACTATCTTCGTATTCCCCATAGCTAATGCCATCTTTGCTACGTCTACAGATATTTCTGAACGAATCGGAAGGAGAGGCAGTTTATTAACAATCTCTTTCAGAACTTGGTTAGACCAATCAAATATCGGAGTATATCACGATGTAGCGGAATAAATCACGATAAGAGGGAATTATAATCGGAATATGTCACGAAATAGCTTCAGAGCCATTAAAGAGTGTTTGGAATACATCACAAACATGGACAATTTGAATATATTGGAGAATTCGCGATATATTATGGCTTCGGATTAAATCACGAATATAACAAGAAAGGCTTATAACTGACTTTGATCCGTGAACTTTTCTGCCAAAGACAATGACTTTCCCGAAGAGAATGATGATTTTCCAGAGATACTCATTTCTTCAAAGTCATCAAAGTTGATATCCATATCATTCTCTTCAATAGGTGGTCGTTCGCCCTGGACTTGGTCTAATGTTTTGTTCTTTCTTCTTTGTTCTCTTTTCTTTCTAATTTCTTCTAGGGCATCTTCTCTGTCTCTTCTTAATCGTTCTTCTTCCTCTGTCTCGATTTCAAATTGAGTTTGTTTGTCTTCTGATTCTGGTGGTGTCGGTTGTGGAGTTATCTCGGCTTGTAGACCTCTTGTACATCGACTAGTCCTCATCGTTGATGTTTGAAAAAGAGGGGATCTACTCTTGGACGCGGGCGCAGAAGTGATCTTACGAAGACACGAAGAGAGAGAGTGAGGAAAACAGATGAGGAAGTGGATCGAGAAGAGAAATCTCGAATTGTCGAGTAACGGAAAAGAGGAGAGAGATTCATCTCTAGGACTTAGACTCATCTAGGACTGATTTACTAATCCAGGGCAGGGCTACTCACGTCCTGCCACGGAGTCCTGTTACACCGCAGACTGCGGTTGACTTCCACACTCCGACGTTCCTAAGAGCTTCTAGACTCGGGATGGACAAGATTGATTCCTCGTGCCTACGTCACCAATCCTCAAGCAATTACTATGATGATTTTTCTTTTTAAGATCCAAAACTTTTTTATTTAATTGATTGAATTCCAAACTAACTTGAGTTAAAATCTCGATAAATGAACTCATCAAACCAAACAAACAAACAAAAGTAGAAGCATGTTGAATCAATCTTAAGGAAGATGTAGTCGTACTAACTAAATAAGTTTGTGATGAATTCATTAAATCAGTTTCATACAAAATTAAATTTTGATGTGATAGATTGATTGATGTTTTAAATAAATTGATCAACTTTTTTTCAATTTTTTTCTTGGTGGTGAGTTTCAGTTTTAATGATTTACAAGGTCTTGGGCAGCTACGCCGCCCCTTTATGCTTCATCTTGCTTAAAACAGAGCAGGACCTTGTCACAACAATGAACCCCTAATGACTAGTGTTCCAAAGTTTGATCTTCAAATCACAACTTCACCAGCAGCGCAGCCACCACCCTTCAACCTGGTCTGGTGATCCAGTCAAACATCTCAATGTAGAACGTAGCACCAGTGACCAGGAGGCCTCCCAAATAAAAAAACTCTTCACATTTGCAAGAAACTCAACCATTTTAATCAAATTGGTAATGACTTAAATGGATAGTACTGAAGCACACCAGCTGTGTAAGTTGCAAACTTTACTGATTGAGAATTTGTAAAAACAATAAAAATTGGTTTAACAATTTGAAACTGATGATGATATGCAATCTAAGTTTCTTGAAAGGCATAGACTGATGAAGTTTCATTCAAATGCATTTCTTTGGATGTGTCTTGAACTGAAACACAACAGATTCACCAACTTTTATCTTCATTTATGTTTAGGTAAGAATGATACTATAATGGTTTTTGCTCAACATACTGGATGATTATATTGTCCTGATTTAACAAAGCCCATCACAACAGATGTGACAGGTGGGGTATTAGCTGAAAACCAAAAAATACCCTCCTAATCTTTGAGGTTTCATATGAACTCTGCTCAGCACGGCTAAGAATGGACTTGAATGCCTGGTAACAAAATCATTCCTCCTTGACCAATCTTGATATCTGCAAAAGTTTCATTCCTAATTACTTCAAAACACATTGAAACTTTTATTTGGCGAGTCTCTTCAGTGATCACACGAAATATGATTTTGGTAACACTTTTATTTCCAATCTCAGGTCTTATAAATTGATGACTTGCAGCCTTCTCCTGAAGTTTAGGAATCAAGAGTGATAGGACATTATAAATATCCTTTTCCCTCTTCAAAGACCCAGGTTTTTTTATTGACAGAGCATCGTGGATGCAGAGATAATTGCCCCACTTTGCGTGCAAGTTTTATATGTTGAAGAATGTTTCAGGAGTGAATTGACAAACAAAACAGCACTTCACAATTAATTTACTTTACGCAGCTGAATTGAGTAGAGGAATGGTTCAAAAATGGCAAAATCTGTCTGGGGATGTCCAAATAATTCCAATGAAGTATAGGGAGAAGATGATTTCTCAAGATTTTCATAGAGACCAATGCTTTGATGATTGAAATGTTTTAAAACTCCATCAAGCGCACTAATCAAATTTATATTAAGCTGGCATTCAAAATCATTCAGCAAGAAGAGGTTCACAACATGGAATATTGATACCTTCTAATTCATCAATCAACATCTTGCCACTACAACATAGAATGGTACAATGGTTGGAAACATGAATCAGATTGTCAGGACCCATGTCAATTAGAGGCCATAGCCAATTAAGATGAGGCCAAATAGATCAAGAGCATCCTTTGATAGCAACTACTACAACCATGACAAAAGACTTGCAAAGCATGGATTGGTATTTAAGAAGTTGTCTTGAATGTGAATGAAGAGAAACAAAGGTAGCACAAGCCTCCAGGAGCTGAAAGGTAGTCAATGATGTTTTCAAAGAAATATATTGTATCAGTGAGTGGTCCAAATATTGAGTGACAATGGGACAGTGACCTACCCAAGTGATTGAATCATCTTCAGGACCCTTTAGTATGTCCTCTGCGCTAATTGTCAATGAGGCACCAACAGTACGCTTGCTAAGATCCGTCAAAGCCGGTTTGGTGTTTTTGAGTTTGACACCACAGAGTTTCAAGTAAAGTGTCATGTTACAAAATGAGCTACCCAGAGCTTTCTTGCTACCAATTGTACATTTGAACTGAACAGCTTGATCAAAGAGAGCATGAATGAGTGGCATTCCAATGATAAGTGATGTTTTGAAATTGTCAACTCCAATCTAAACAAAGGATCAAATGTTGATGAATCACATTTCTTTCTACAGAGTGTACAATAGTTGATTTGGAATGTTCATTGATCATGTCCTCAGATTTTTTGAATGATTTGGCTTGTTGTGGAACTTTGACTTTGAATCTAAATGTTCCCTGACAAAAGAGTACAATTGCTAGGACATATCAAATGGAAGGCGTGTGATCTGATTGCTTTGGCATTAGCATTCATAGGCTGACCAATTACTGTAAGCATCTGGGGAATCACAGACTGGAGTTCAGTCTGTAGTCAACCGTCCAAAAGTCACAATTATGCTCAGGCTAAGAATCAAAAAAAGTCCAGTTACTTACCATAGAAATCTATTGATCAAATATATTCTCAAGTTTTGATGGTGTGCTGAACGCAGAATGGATCCATATTTAGCAAATGGGCAGATTTTGATCAGGAATATTGAGATGCTGATTTTGATTAATTTCATTGTTCAGTGTTGGCTAGATATTGAAAGAATAATCTTGGAGGAGGTTACATATAGTCGTGAACTGACTACTGAACTGATGGGAGTCAAAATGAGAGCAAGGATGAAACGGATATGCAAAAACCTACTGGAGTCCATTATAGCCAAGTGATGGTCATTGATGGATGCAAGTGTGAAGGCTATGGGCTCAACACAGTGTGGTATCTTCGTTTTGCAACATGTTGACAAATAGCTGTCTCAACAGGGTGTGAAGATGGGCATGGCACCGAGGCTCACCAAGGCAAATTTAATTGAGCAGGCCAGAATGGATAATTGGGAGAAGGTTGTCTCAGTTTGTGATTTTAAGATATAGATATAGATAGAAAGACACTGTATTCAATAAAGCAATGGAATTAGCCGCTGCTGGAGACGGTATTGAATCAGCAAATTACCCAAACGTATACAAGACTGTGAACCTGATCAATAATAAGATAAGACCAATTATCAATTGTAGTAACTCAGTGATTCCCGCGATCAAAAATGAAAGCTTGTTAAAAGCTGATTGACCTCCTGTTTGATTGATTTCATCTAGAATAGTAGAAGCCAAAGTTTTGAGTAGATTGGACTGAAAACAATATCCAGATCCGACCACATCACTATTTGAAGAAATATGTTAGCAAAAGTGATGGAAGAAGTTTAAGATGGATGACTGACCTGAATTGAGATTCAATCAAACAAGCACCTTGTAATCTTGCTGAGCTAAAAACATCCAATGGTTTTTCAAAATTAAGAAGATATTCTGAATTCACACTACAAGATCCTGTAGTAAGAGAATAAAGCACAGCAGCAGCAGCTCCACGATCACAAGCAAGAGTACAGATATCATCAACCATTGTAAATGATGAGGTATTGGTATCACAGCTATGAATGGTTTTAATTGATTGATTGAGTTGTGATTGATTGGTTGTAATTGATTGAGTTGGGTTTGTTGATTGATTGGGCAATTGAGATTGATTGAGTTAGAGTTGTAATTGAATGATTGAGATGGAATGAAAAGATTCAAGTCAGATTGAAATTCTGCTATTGAATGATTTGAAATCCAACATACTTGATCATGGCAATCCAAGGAGCATTAGCAGGAGGTCAACCAGTAGCATTAAATTAGAGAAATGAAGTAAAACACCTTGCAATAATAATATATTGAAGATGATGAGTTGATGATAGAATTGAATGAAAAAAGAGGAATGACATACATGTAAAGAAAAAGAAGGAGTATATCATTAGCTTGAAGTGATCTGTTAACTCCATCAGAAAAGATACCGATAGGATGCCAATTCGTTTGAATAAACCAATTAGTATCAGCTAGATTAGGATCAATTTGAGGGATTGGATCATTATTTGGAGTACTGCATCTAGATCCAAGGCTTCATCTTTATCTATACTATTGTGACTACCACAACACTGTTTCCAAAGAAGGACTAATATTTATATTTGATAATCAGATTCCTTCCGCTCTAGCTTCTTTGTTTGAATTGGTTTGATGTAAATCTTTACCTTTATACATCTCGATCTAAATTTCTAGAGTAGGTTTGATGGCTGAGCTACCCTTCTGGATTGAATCTAATCAAATGATTTCAAAACAATGGTTAATAGATGCAAAAGATGATCACTAACCATTATCTTGTGAAATGATATTATCTGATTTGGCTTGATTTCCTAATTCTCTATCAATCCTTACACCTTTATCATGATCATGATCTTTTCTTGAGCTTGTTGTTGTTTTGGGTTTTGATTGGTCGTTGATTTAGTGTTAGCAACACTGGGTAAGCGATGCTGCGCACCGCAACAGGCCAAATCAGCGCAGCGTAGCTCTTCAAAAAAACTGGATTTTTCCCCAGGTCCGTAGCGCAACACCTACATAACTCGAAGATCAATGCTACAGGTGGCAGCGTTGCTTTACAGCGCTGCGCAACAGGCGCAACACGCAATGCAACACGCCTAATCCAGTCCAGTGTGAGCAAAAAGCAATTCATTCAAGTGAAAAGACATACAAAACATATCAATGATAGTTAAGAAATTTTAAACAAAGTATTACTATTAATGATAGTGAAGAAATGATCAAAAACAATAAGATACAGATGGTAATAAATAAGTTAATAAAGACAATAAATGAGAGTAAAGAAGTAGAAAAGCGCAAACAAGTAAAAACAAATAAAGGAATTAATCAAGTCATTGATATTCCTATGGCTTTGAATACCTTGGTAAAATCTTCAAACAGGATGCCAAGATCAACACCCTCCCTTATCCAAAGTCTGCTCGAGACCAGACTTTCAATGAATCAAAACCAAACTATCTTGAAATTGCTGTAAAAACCCATGTAAAACTTGGATCAAAACTCTTTGACAATCTTCTAATGTGATTTCTTTTAATGAAATTTTTCATTCAAGTTGATTTCCATTGAAGCTTTTCAAAATCTATTTCAATAAAATAATTCAAATTAGATAAATGAATTCCAAGTGTTGATACACATTTTGCTTGATTGTCTGTTGGGATTGGATATGTTGCATTCACTCTTGAACAACCAAAACTTTGAAGTTGGGTAAGATCTAAGGTGATTTCAACTAAAAAACTTTCAGTATAAGCTGGTCTTTCAGTTGGAGAAGTTAATGAGAGACGAGTAAGTGAGGTAAGTTGAGAGATTGGTTTGTTAAATAAATTTGGCATTTGACCATCAGATGAAGGATTATAACTACCAGATTCTACAGAATTATTTGAATTGGATGGTTCTGAAAGTGGAATGATTGGTTTTGGATCTAAATCAATATCAAGATTGATGATATTTGGATAAGTTTCAAAGATCTTAAGTATCACTTCTGATCTTGATTTAGGATCCCAATCTGGTCCATCCAATGGACTTTCACTCCAGGTTTCTTCAAATTTGATTAATTCTGATCTAGAAGCTCTCTGCCAAACTTTCTTAACCTGATTTGAATGTGGTTTGATGATCTCTTTGAATGTAAAGTTGATTTTTCTACCAAGTCTGGCTCGCAGCGCTACCCAGCGCTATGAGCCAGTAAAGTGGTAGCGTGGCGCGAGAAAAAGCCTGCTAAGCTAGGTAGCTTTAGCGGTAGCTGGGAATTTTTTTTGGGCAAAAGTAGTAGCTAATAGCGTAGTTGATATTCGCAGCGCCTCTCAGCGCTACAAGCGAAAAAAAAATTTACGAACATAATTCAAAAAAAAAGAAAAAGACAATAATTGATGTAAAGGAGGGTCATGAAAAGGTAAGTCAATTTGGTAAACGATTGTAATGAAATGAATAAGTGTGATAAGTGAAAAAAAGAAAACAAGAGCTCGATCAGAAAACGAGAACGAGACACACTAAAACTCAAAAATGAGTTTTTCTGGGTTTCTTCATGATTGCTTTCTTGGCAAACTCAATTACCTTGCCAACCTCGGCAAACTCCCAGTGAGAGGGGGTTATACGGTAGAAATTCTACTGTATAACCTTAAGAATCAAAACTCTGAAAAAAATCAAGATATAAATTTACTCAAAGACAAAAAGAACAGAGATTCAAGAGAATTACCTGGTATAGATAAGGACAACATAATTGATAAAACGTGTGATCTACAGAAGCAAGTGATCTAATATCGATTAAACAATCATCATCAGAATCACGAGAATGGATTTTAGAATGAACAGAATCAGATTCATCATTAGATAAGATTTCTAACTTTCAAAAAATAAAAAACATCATCTTGATCAGATATGAATGATTTTAAAAGGATGAAATAATCCAAACTGACTATTATTTGTTGAGGTTGGTTTTTGGTTGGATTGGTTTATCCATTTATCATATCTTGTTTCTGAATCTGAATCTGATATATCTTCAAAATGATCATCATTGTTATTGTTATTATCCTTTTTAAACTATCAGTTGGATTTGATGATCCATGTGAATGTAACCAATAAATGATAATATGCCTAATGTGTCCAGATACGTCACGATCAAGTTTAGTTTGGCTGGCGTATGAGAGAGGGTTGGGAGGGGTTGGCAGTTGATCATGTTATGGAACTTGAAGTGTGATTTCCAAAGGGGAAAGTAGACACCTGGGTGACAAAAACCCAATTGGCCTCCATGGCCCCGCAACAACCGCTGCCTGTGGTCTGCGGTGCTACAAGGAGTGCCTGCGTAGCGGTCCAGAAAAAAAACAATTTCCAAGGGTTCAGAAGCTCTGCGGGTTTTTTGACCCCACGAGAAACGCTGCACAGCAGCGCAGCACCCTCTGAAAACCGCAAAGCCCCGCTGCGCAACAGCAACGGGGGGCGTTGCTTACCCAGTGTTGGTGTTAGGTTTTTTGATTGGAGTTTCATGTGTTCAAATTGGGTTTTAGATTCAATTGCTTTTGAGATTTCTTTTGATGACAATCTGATGAAGGTGAAGAAGGAATATTGTCTTCTTCTTCATCATCTGAATTTAGATTTGATTCTGGTTGACTTTCCAATTGTTTTTTAACTCGTGATGGATATCTTCTTGGACTTTTTAGAATTTGATTTGGTGAATTGGCTTTTAAAAGAAAGGTTATCATTGGTTTTTCTTGTTCATAGATTTAGTCCAATGATGATGAAAATGAAAAATCAAAACCTTACGATTTGATTGTTATAAACTTGAAGTTGAAGTTGGATTCTTGGTTGTATTCTGTTTGACCACAATTTCTCCGTTTCTTTAACAAGTAGCTTTGAACCTTTGTAGTGACAAACTCTGCAGCAGATCTTTGAGTCTTGAGAATGCCTCGCCAGCCAAGTTCACTGAGTTTAGTCACATCTAGAGGTCTCTTGGGATTGGTTTGGTGGGAAAATGTTGGGATTACAATCTCATCTCTCAAATCAAGTCCACCTTGTTGACCATCCCTTCATACTACTGTTGGCAACGGCCAAGTCACCACAATACCCAAGAAGTTTTTGAGCTGATTTTTGAGTGCCAATCAAGCGTAACAAGACTGTGATATCATGATGAACAGGAAAGATGACAGGGACAGATTAGTTTGTTATACAACTGGAAGAAATAGAGATCATCTATAACTCACAGTAGTTTGACAGGCCATGACAAGAGGTAAAGTTGGCAACAGCTGAGCCTAAGGGGGTTGGAGTCTTAAGTGTACAGCATGTTAAGGGTTTAGGGGTTTAATCCAGTTTTGCCAAGAAACTGGGTTGTGCCTTTAGTGTTATGATACCTAACCACTGATTATCAAGAAAGCCTGTAAACCATTGCCTCATGATTACCCTCAGGCATGTTGGTCCGGACACTAAACAAACAACACATATTGTTTGTCAGCGCTTATGACACTGAGGACAACAAATAATTTACATTTTTGAGTGACATGTGTTGATACATGTCGCTCATCCCATGTCACCGTGTGACATTGCTCAATATGGCCGTGTGTCACTATGTATTATATTTCCAATTCTCAAAACTGAGTTTCCCTCATCACAATCAAACTCAGCCATTGCCTTCACTACTTGTTGACTGTCGTCCTGCTCAACAAACACATCCAAAGGTTCCAACATTGACATACCAATTCCCCATTGGCACAACACTGAGACAGCAGCGCTGCTTGTTAGCATGAGCGTAGAGGTAACATAACTTTACGCGGTACCCTATCCGTTAGCTTAACGGGCCTCTTTTGGACTACGCTGACGGATCCCTGTAACGGGTATATTTTTTTTGAGTTACGTTAGCACCCGTGGATAACGGGTATTTTTTTTGAGTTACGCAACAGCCACGTAACCTGTTACGGTAACTATGTTGCGCACAAGCCAGGGCAGGGGCAGTCCTATCCCAAAGTAGGCTATGTATCCCACATCCATGAAGAAAGCATTGCCAATCACCACCCAATCGAGATTGAATTTAACGCAAGGGGAACTTCAACTAGGGATGGACCTAAATCGATGGACAGTGAGTTAGACTCGAGTCTCCTCCATCCTCCTTCTAATCATTTTCCCGCTGCTCCTCCCTTTCTTGAAAAGTCTTGAACAATTACTTCACACAAACTCATAAACATGGACCTATCACTTCCACTTTTCTGCATCCATTTTGTTTTCAAATTTACCTTTATCGAAATCAATCTGATTCACTACTAACTAGATGTTTAACTCATCTCGGCGTCCTTTTGTGGGCATCTTTATACAGATGTTCCAGTACTTGCATTTTCGTTTATTAGTTGTTCCAGACTCCAGTCAATCTTATCAATCCCAGTCAAACATCAGATCTTCAAACCCGGTTCCAGCCACTCCTACTCGACCTCAAAGACAACGTACTCAGGTCACAACTCCTGGAATGATACCCACTAGTGCCGATAGTCGTCGCTGAGTCTTGGCAAACCCTCAATTTCAAACAACTTCTAAAACGAATACCAAGGAGACGAATGCTACCTATATTACCTCACAAGATGAGTCTGATTCACCTCAAGTGGTTAACCCACCAGCTAAGAGATCACGCAAAAAAAGAAAGACCATCACCACCACAAGCACGGAAAACGAAGTAAGCAGTTACTGATTGTATTCCTCAATTGTTTCAACAACTGACCAATACGACTTGAAGTTTTCCTCTGCCCAGGTTACAAAGGCCACACTTCGAGCAGATTCAGACTCAGAGAACATCAAGGTTTGGAAAAGGAAACACATCGACATTGAGGAAGACAAAAAGACCGATGCCCTCCTTGCCTATTTTGGACCTCCGTTCCACAGCAAGAACACTGATGTATGTCTTATCATATTTACTCCTTACCATTTTTGATCATCCAAATTGTGTACTGATTACTTTCTCTTAGGATAAAACCAAACAACCTTTGGGATATCCGTGCTTATTCTGCAGTCGGGACGAGAAGAACCCAGTTCGGATCAGCTTTACCAATCCAACAGGAAACCTGAAGGCCCATCGTGATGGCTCAACTCAGACTGGTCAAGCATCCACCGGCTGCCCTGGTTGACGACAAGCTTGCAAGGCGGGACACTCTGTCCCTCTGTCTGTCGCTGAAGTCAGGGCTCGAGAAGAAGCCGAACAGAAGAAGTCCACCGGACCCATCGACGCCTTTGTCACGACAACAAAGATTTCAAAATTCGATAATCTCACATTCAACCAAGGCATGTGCACCTGGCTTCTCAGGCAATCATTGCCTTGGTTAAGGCTGGCGGACCCTTGGCTCCGTGCATGTGTCCAATATTTGCGACCTGAAGCAAAACTATACGGCAGGCATTGGGCAGCTCAAGAAGCTAAATGTCTCAACTTATCAATGAAAGATCAAGTTATGAACGAGCTGAAGGTGAGTCTGAAATTTCTATTTGACTTCTTTTACGTATTATACTGACACTATTTATTTCCATTCAACCTGTACTTTTAGGGCTTGGACTCTAAGTTCTGCATGCAGCACGATGTCTGGACTTCGAAAGGAAATTGACACGGTTTCATCGGTGCGTCAGTGAACTACATCAATCCTACATGGAAGTATTTATCACGTCACCTGACTCTCAAAGTCGTGGCATGGGAGCATCGAGGAGCATGGTTGGCCGAGCCTTTGGCCAATGTGTTAATGAAAAATGACCTGGTTACAAAGATAAGTACTATCAATCAGCTCCTATTTGGGAACCATGAGATCGATGTTGTATGCTAATATAAGTTTGTTACTATGTCTTCACTTGCTGAGCCAGACAACGGATTCTGGTTCCAATAATAAGACAATGGCCCAAGAAATGCATCGGCAGTTCTTGGACCATTGTGGTTATGAATCCGACTACCGATGGGATCCCGAGACCATGCACGCCTTCTGCTTCTGCCACAAGCTTGCCCTTGTGGTGGGAGCAGGATTAGGCGCCCTAGGTCTCAAGACTCCACCTCCTCGCAAGGTCAAGACCACATTTCGCGGACGATTTCCCACCATGTGCACCAACCTAGTTGAAGAAGACAAGCCATCCGATCCATTTGATGGTGATGGTCCAGTATTAGACGTGCCTGACGCTTCAAATGCACCAAACGAAGAAGATGTTACCTCGGACATGGAACATGACCTCCAAGACTTGGATGATGATGTCTCTATCATGGATCAATTGACATTGATCATAGCTGACGCCCCAGTGGATGAAGAGGCTGATTGGGACGCCGCGGATCAAGATGATGAAACAAACCCAATGCGGATTATAGATGACTCAGTTGCACCCACTCATCAAAGAGAAGCTAACAAGCTTCACTTCATATTAGAAAAGGTAAATACGATTAGCACTACTTCATTTCAAGGTATGAAACTAATCTTTTTGTAAACAGCTCGACTTTGTCATCCGCAGGATCACTCGGTCATCCTCTTGGAGAAATGAATTCAATAGGATTATGAAAGCCCGCGGTTTAAAGTTAGGTTCACTGATTGCAGGGTATGGCATCAGATGGAATATAAAGTATATTAGCCGACATAAAGCTTGGCTCGCACGTGAGGTGGGTATTTGTTCTTTCTTTCATAGTTGTCTATTCAATTTCCATTTTGTTTTTGTTCTTATATTTATTCATTTTATTTCAAGATCATCGACCAGATTTTGAAAGAAGACTTGGCCCGAGTGCACTCCAAAACTCGGCGACCACGAAAAAACGGCAAGCCTCACGGGTATTTCCACAAGATATCAATCAGCCCTTCGGAATGGGCATCAATCGAAGAACTCAACTCAGAGCTCGAGGTCAGTTTGATTTGAGTATTTAAATCATAGATTGCATATTGATGACTGTATGATTATCATCTACAACCTTTTTTGACCATCACTAAACAGATGGAAGGGACCATGCCCACCGGGGCCATGGTAATTCCTAAGTACATAGAACTGCGACAACAATTACAAGAACGAGAGAAGAAACTTTCCAAAAGTGATGCCCTTTATCCAATGCTCGAAGCTATGATATCTAAACTGCAAGGGTACCTGAATTAGGGGATACAAAGTAGAAAGCCGGGCACGTGCCCACAAGTCCACTTTCCCAGATACCAGCTGAAATCTGGGCAAAAAGAAAAATCCGGGCTCGATTCCCAGTTCTCTGCCCAGTTCTTGATTGAGAATCCCCTCACTCCCCTCAAACCCCGCAGAATCAACCAGCTAAGTTTAATATCATGTCGTCGTCTCAGGATCAACACTCAGACACCATCATATCACCTGAACCATCTTCCGAACCAGATCCAAAACCTACTCAACTACAACTTGATCCTTCGACTCTGAGTCAAGTCCTCACTGGTGCAATCACCCTAGCTCAAACAGCGGGTTCAAGCGTTTCCAACAAAAATAAGAAGTCGAATTCAAAGATGCCCCGTAAATTGAATGCAACTCGAGCAAAACCTCGCTCGCCTCGTAAGTCCAAATCGAACAAGTCCAAAAAAACAAAAACCAACAATGAAAGTGCTCAAAATGAAGATGAAAAAGTCAACAAGTCATCACAGCACTGGGATAAGGATGATAATGGGCAGGGGAAATCTTCAATGTACTTATTGATCAATTGGCTTACGGAGGAAGAGAATTTTGGTAGATTCAAAGATAACAAATCAGAAAAGAAAGGTGTGGCCGAAGATATTGAAAGGTACATGATTGAGAATGGAATCACTTGGCGTAGTGCGGATATTATCAGAAAAAAGGTATGTTACGTCTCATTCATTGACCGTTGTTTTTCTTATATCTGACTCTGACTGTAAACCTTTGTGTTGGTTTACAGATTGGCCGTGAAGAGGAAGCTTGGCGAGCAGCTGACGGTTTGCGTAACAAGACTGGTCAAGGAAGTTATTTGTCAGCAACGGAATTGAAGACTGCCAAGGGGTGGGCTGATGATGATCCTGAATGGCTTAAAGTAAAGAAGGTAGCAATCGGTAAGCAAACTTTCTTTTGCTTTGCATTATTCCGTTCTGTTAAGTTTCTGATTTTGCTTCTGGCCTTCTTCTCAGCACCAATCTTAAAGAAGTCGAAGTATTATTTTGAACTAGAGCCAATTTTTGGGACCCAACACGCCAATGTCAGACTAGCTGCTGCACACGGTTTACCTCCCACGATTGATGAAGACAAGGGAAGTCAAGTTGAATCCCAACGTGATTCAAGGGAACATTCAGTCAATTCAAATCTAGCTTATGAGGCGAACCATAATGACAACACCGGGTAAGCAACGCACCGGCCCGCTACAAGCGACTTTTGCGCTGTGTTGCTCTTTTTTTTCAGTTGTTGTGATGTAGCTCTTGGGAGCGTTGCGTTGTCAAAAAAAAAAAAATATCGCCATCATGCAGCGCAACTTGCTTTATCAGCAACGCTCCGGAGCAACAACGCTCCGTAACGCAACAGGCATTAACAGCAACGCTGAACCGCAACGTGGGCCTAAAACTGAATTATTAACATAATAAAAAAATAACCACTTGTAACAATCGATAGAGGCATAGCATAGGTTAGAAAAAGGAATAATGAGGCATAGTATATAAAAGGAAGCGACTCGGGCCACACTCATCTTTGCTACGGCCACACTCCACGTGACTTGGCGAGACCATTACATGTACCACCCTACATGCAGTGGGTGTCTTTTCTTTTTTTAATTCCATCGCTCATCGCATCATAGCTGAAGGACTGCGAGAAGAGCGGGACGAGTGAGGTGGCATTGGCAAACAGATCGATTATACTGGGTGGACAGTAGAGATTGATTAGAGAAATCAATCGCTCGGGACGTGTATATTGATTTCATTATGATACTCAGATTGTTTCCGTGATGCGAGGAGTAAGAGACACCTGAGGCGGGTTATCAAGTCGATTTAGTTGGAGTAACCCCTCCAGAGTTCAAATTCAAAACGGGCGGCTCAATTTGGAGGGTACGGGGGTGATGAAAAGCATCGAGCAGTTGAATGTTTGCTAAATATCCTCAGGGATAGTATGGTAAGAATTCACTCGATCAAAGCAATCAAATATGATCATGTTGAATTGCACATATGAATGACCTCAAGTGAGTGTAAAGGGTTGCAAAGAGGCAAAGGCTTGACCAAAAGTACTTGTTAGACAGCGGAGTATCATGAATATGTATGTACAGTCAATCAATTGTGCAGACCCCTTCGGTTTAAACAGAGTGGAACTTTGGACATAATCGAGCATTATTACGCCGATGGCCCACCAGGCCACAGGCCTTGCAAGTCTCCACTCGCTTCCCATTCACAGGTGGATCGACATACTCAAAAGCGGATGGATCTCGACGTGTAGAGTCATCTTGATCCTGACGACTTGAAGTTAATCGGGGCCTCCCTTTTGATATGATCGGATGAGGTTCTTGTAAAACCACTGGGACTTGCTGGGAAAGTTCATGTAGTTGCTCTACCATTTCCTGCTGCTGTCGCATCGGAAGATTCTTGAAATTCTCAGACAGGCGGTTGAGAACAGTTGGTAATACATCACTTGGCTCTTCGGGCAGTAGCTGAAGCAAAATTGGTGTGGGATGATGGAGATGCCAGTGGCGGTGGAAATCCGCGAGTGAAAGTTGTTCTTTCTGTGAGATAAGCCGGCGTAAAAGATGAGAGCAAGGGAGACCCCAAACTGTTGTGAATGTTTGGGTACAAGGCTTCGTATCTGGGCTCAATGGGCGCCTCACAAGCTCGAGCTACAAACGGAGATGATTGTTATCAGCAGCAATCGATTTGCATAAAGCCTAACCTGACATACTTGTTCGTGTACTTTGCAAAGTGAAAACGATGAAACCTTCCTATTGACATCCTGGAAGATCTCTCCCTTGGGTGTAGGTAGAGCAAAAGTGAGGACATTCATCTGATCCTTAGCCAGCTGGGCACGGTAGTCGGTGAGAAAGTTTTCAATTGAATGTACAATTTTTTCACTACAATCGAGAATGTTATTCAGATTGATCTTGATATACTTCTTGATCCGTCCATGGGCGCCTTCACCTCGTGATGTTACTGTGTGCCCAAGATGACAGACAGAGTTGGTCCATGCCTTGACAAACATATGCTTGTATGGCTTGATCCACGTATCTTCCAGATACTTGACATCGGTGGTTGAGTGTGATTTTTTGAACGTCGACCAGGCCAATAAAAAATCCTCTTCCGTTTTAGAGTACATGACCTACAAGAAGAGATTTTAACAAAGTTCTATCATACAAAGCAAGAAAAACACTCACGGATCTCCAGTCCTTCATAAAGGTGTCCCACTCTTCTTTGGGTTTCCCAGAGAAACAAGGCTTGCAGGTCTTGATTACATTCTTCTCAATATGCCAGATACACAGCAAAATCTCTGCTGTCTCAAAATGGATCCTGATGGCTGCGATTAGGGCAAGTTCTCGATCGGTGACCAGGACTCGAGGTAGATAGTCAACATGAAAGAGATTTTTGAAGTACTTCAGAGCAGTTGTGTATGATTCCTTGCTTTCGGTCTTCATGAAGATGAAACATGCTGAGAAAGTTGTGTGAAGCGCAGTTGTACCCACAATATGCAGCAATGGGAACTTTGACCGAGTTGTCTTGTATGTAGCATCCAAGATAAAGACCTCGTAGTTGACGCGCAGGAGTGAAATCGAATCTGGATGCGCAAAAAACACATGCGTCACCTGGCCTTTGTCATCGGTCTTGACTTCAATCTTGTAACCCTTTCTGGTGAACCTTTCAACTAAAGTATCCATGGGAGTTCTTCCATCTAATTTATCCCATGTTGCTTGTCTCTTGAGGTTATATAACTTTTTACGCGGGATATCTGCACCACCATCCATGTTGCGGAGTTGAACCTGAATATCACGAATCTCAGTCTTGGCTTCAAACAGTAATTTGACTGCCTTATCCTGGGTTTCAGTGAGCCGGAGGTGAACTGGGTGTGCTGATGCTGCAGAGGAAGGTCCGTGATTATGCATAGGTTCCTTGATGACAAAGCTCCACGTGTTGACCTCGGATTCTGTTCCTATGAGCTGGAATGGGCAGTTGGTAACACAGCTAGAGGCCTTTCGCTTACGTGTCTCATCTTTCAGACCATGTCTATTGCGGTAGGTCCCTCCTAGTGTACATTTGTAGTATACTTTTTCAAGGCCATTGTTCTTCTTTGATGTCTTCGTTACAACTCCATAACCATGTTGAGCAGCAAATGAGTTGATTTGCCTTTCCATCACATCCTTAGAGGTGTAAGTGGTGTTGATCAAAGCTGATGGTGGTGGTGGTAATGACTGTGTTGATTGTTCTTCGATCATTGATGTGGAAAAGTGGATTTGAAGGCAATGTAGAAAATACATAGAGACTTCTCCGCTACAATCTTAAAAAAAAGAAAAGACACCCACTACATGTAGGGTGGTACATGTAATGGTCTCGCCAAGTCACGTGGAGTGTGGCCGTAGCAAAGATGAGTGTGGCCCGAGTCGCTTCCTATATAAAATTGTAGCATAGTTGTTTAATAAAGTGAAAAATATAAATTGTGATATAAGAAAGGAAAGTACCAAGAGAAAAGTTGTAAGTACAATATCAACTTTAATCGATTTGTTATAATACTATTCCCAAGTCTTTCAAAATCTGCGTCAACTCCTCATAAGCTTCACCCAGAGGAACACCTTCTCTCAACCATAATCTACTGGACACAAGTCGTTTGATTGTCCGAGAAATCAGAGCACCTCGACTACTCGAACAAACATCTGACGCGCAGGAAAAGATGCGCTCAGGAGCGCAGGAGGAGCCTGTTGAGGCTAGATAATCTCCAGCCATGATGCCCAGGATCCGGTAAGACTTTGCATGCTTCTAAGGATAGGTTGCAAAAACGTCAGGTCGGTATCTACAAAAAGAAAATTACAATGACAATGCAATGCAACTCACCTTCCACCATTTAAGACTTGCGGCTGGATCTTGTATATCATACTTGTCAGCCCTCATCTTATCCACTCGGTTTAAATAATTCTTAATTTGTATATCTTCAGGTTCTTCAATCTCCGCGTCATTGTCAGAGTCATCGCAAAAGATGAGTGGTCTTGGGGAAGAAGTTGCAGGAGTTTGGCTATCGTCGGTACGAGGAATGGGGTTAGATTTGTCATTCGCAGGATGCAGGTGTTCGTATTCCCGGTGACCACGTCGTAAAAGGGCTTCTGCATTCATTGTGATTGCAGATGATTCTCCAAACCACTTGGAGAAAAACCGTAGTCGGAAAAATGGGTGGAGCAACGTCGCCATGATGAGGGTTTCGCATTGGAGTGCTTCGTTCAAATACTTGACAGTCTTCTCCTTCATTTTCGCAAGCATCGGGTAGATGGCATCGGTCATGCTTAGTGGTTCAATCTTCTTTTCGAGCGAGTCACGAAGCTCCACGTATTGTGGGATTACCATGCATCCCGTGGGTCCGTCCCCTTCCATAAGCAGAGTGGTGTTTAGGAATGGCTGACAAGTTGATCAACAATCAATCAAATGTCAGCACAGCTTGGCATATATGAGAAAGAAAGAATCGAAAAGAAATATCACCTCAAGCTCATCGTTGATTTTCCGGACTTGAGCCCATTCGGAAGTCGTCATCTCGAGTTCATGGAAATATCCATACGGTTTTTTGTCTTTGCGTGCAGGTCAATGTTTGGAATGTACCATGTTCAAATTGTTTCGACAGAGTTCATCGATGACCTGAAGAGTATGAAACAAACTCAACTGGCGCTCACACAATCAAGAAAGTAAGAGAAATAACTTACCGCTCTGGCCAACCAAGCTTTATGGCGGCTTTGATACTTGATATTCCAATGTATCCCATAGCCTGCAATCAAAGATCCTTGGAAACCCTTTTGCTCGGCTACTCGCTTGAACTCATTTCGCCAGGCCGCAGAACAAGTTATTCGCCGGGTTATGAAGTCAACCTGTTTGGAAAGAATAAGACATACGTTAACAAGTATTTAGACCAGTGTCACAGAGGCAAGAAATACACGCCTTTCGCAAGATATAGTCGGCATTATTTGCTTCTCGACGGTGAGTAGGTAGTACTTCTTTACTAACCGTTGA